GGGGGAAGGTCATACCTGACTCAAAATGAAAATAAAAATTGACTTGAATAAACACCTGCCCTTCAATCTGAACTTTCGATCTACATTTACTATTAAAACATCTGTAGAAATTGTAAATTACCAGACTGGAAAGTAATACAGATTTTTGCAATGTACAAACTGCAATGTAATATTACTATATAAATATAAAATACATCTATTTTTGTACACATTATACTTACTGCTTCTACAGAGTTACATTCACGCCTTGTTTCTAAATATCGTAGTGCTCTTTTCTCTTCTTCTTTTAGTTTAGCATCTGCCTGTGCAGAAGTAGAACAGCAATCATTTTAAGTACTAACACTTTCAGAACAAAGTTACAACAGAATTTTTACTTACATATTTCATATAATTCTGTACACCATTTTGTTGTAAATACGAAGGAGCCTGTGTTCTATAAAACCTCTCTGTTGAATCCAAATACGCCTTTTCAAAGTTATCCCGGTATATCTGAAGCTTATCTTCAGGATTAGAACAAAGGTTAACTGCAAAGAGAAAGTCCAAACTTACTCTCAAGTCTTGGAAACTTACGTGGCTAATAACAAGCAAATTTCTCTCATTAAAGCGAGTCTTGTATTAAAAGGTTGCATTGAACAATTTGAAGTATCCTATAAACGCACCGTGACCCCTACAAAATTGTCCAGTCTTTGCCCCAAAAACATTTAGATTAACTATAGGGAACTGGAAAGAACTGGATACTTATCTGCAGCATTTTAGACATTCAAACATGGTAACCGGAAATACACATACAACTGCAAAATTGGAAAGGAAAAAAAGAGGCAAAAAAAGCAGCTCAGCATAATGCCTAATAAAGTGAAAACTTCTCCACCTGACTGAGCAAACAGCTTTTCTTAGACACTGTTCTTAGAATCCCAATGTCTTCATTTTAGACTTTTTTTTTTTTTTTTTGCATTGTTTTTTTTCTGTTTTACAAGAATGGAGACAGTGAGCTTACTGCTACCCAGCAGTGCTTTGCACTATTTGGAGAAAAGTTTCCACCCTTCTCTCAACTGTTACAGAGAAATAAAAAAAAATAAAAGTCCTTAAATGGAATACACTTTAAAAAAAAAAAAAAACCAAACAAAACAGAATCAGACATCTATAAAGTCATCTGAAAGAGTATTAGCCACAAGTTTAATTCAACAGGCTGCAGAGCTTTGAAGAAGAGGCAGGCAATGGTGAAATGTTATAGAAGATTCAGATACACTGATCTGTTTTTCAAAGATGACAATGACAGAGAGTCTTAGATGCAGCCTGTTTAGCATTTCTTCTTCAAACTGTCTGAAGAATCAGAAACAGTATGGAAAGGAGCACAGACATAAGGTTATATCTGCAACCCTTAAAGGTCAGAAAGTAGTCTGCTCTTTGAAAACACTGATTTTGCAGTAACTGATACGTAGCTAAATCACTTAGAAGTTAAAGATTTTAAACAGAATTTAATTGGTATCACAAATCAACAACAAAATAATCAATAAAAAATGCTGAGATAATCATTCCAATCCTACCACCACAATTGTCAACTTTGTATGATGAAAATTCATTTACTAAAGTGAGGAGGCAACAGAGATCAGTCCTTGCAAGACATACCATATGATTCTCGAACTCCAATAACAAGCTGAGAGTCGAAAGCTTCTCCTAGTCTTTCAGCATGAACTAGCTTCATTGCACTATCCTGAAGTCTATTTTTTATATTTGAAAATATGGATTCATTCCATGTATCTAGCATGAGCTGTGTATCGGGAGGGAAAAAAAAAAATCCTGTCAGAAAGGTACACAGACCTAAGTTTGTGCAAAAGAAATACAAGAGATCAGAAACAGAAATCAAGCAAGTTACAATGTAATTTTCAGGTTATATACAGCAGTTCAACTACCTTAGAACTTGATCTCCCTCTGAACTTGTTATAGAAACAATATTCAGCTTACATTCTAAGTTTACTTTATGTAACTGGATAGCTAGGGGAAGCAGTGTTTGATTCAGGTATTAATTCCGTAAGTCTGTATTATTTCTACAGTTCTCAGTAATCAGTCAAGTAACTTTTCCAGCAATGCAATGTGTCAGGAGTTGCAATATCAGGGGGTACTTTTGAGCCAAACATCCAAATACAGTTCACTATTTGGCAGGCTCAGTCTTAAACAAAACCAAAAACTCAACACCATAATTATGTAAAGAAAAAAACCTGATGGTTTCAGATTTATCTAACATGACAGTTAAATATGCAAGTAGTGCATATATAATTTACAAAAAACTCCAAACCCCATCTAAGCACTACTAAGTTTTAAAATTATGGAAGCTCCTAACAAAATCCTCATCACTCAAAAGGGTCCCTTCATATTCCACTGTGTGATTTTTTTTTTCTTTTGCAATCACTATTGACACTGTTGCAAATGTATTGTGTTACACCTGATCACCAGACCCAATGTGCTGCAGCTGAGCAACACAAAAAGCTTACTGGCAGGCCAGGCTGTACGACATCCACCTAAGCTCCACCAGCTGTTCAGTAGTAAATACTCAAAGCATGCTAAATGTTTGTGTAAAAAAAAAAAAAAAAATCTTAATTTGCTTTAGAATTCAAATTACTGTCATCATTTCTTTTGCCCTTAGACACTGGGTCTAGCTCTTTCTATATGCCACTGAATACCTAACAAAATTATGCCAAAGCTTAAAAGATAATTTTTGTTTTTTCTATCCAACTCATGCCATTTCATTATTTCAGAAGAAAGCTCAAACTTAAGAGTATCTTCAAGCTTGACAGTAACTGCTATGAATGTAATTTAAGCATGCCAATTGTCAGTCTACACTGGCAGTGGAAACCAGGTTGGAATCATAAAAATTACCAGTTCAAACATTACCTCGTGATTGTGAATAAGCTTACTAAAAATGAGCTTAGGATGACTTGACACAGCTGTATGGCAAAGTTAATAGTAAAGATTAGATGGCCTTATTCCATTCTTACTTTGTAAATTTTATATTTTAACACAGCAAGCACCTAACAGAAGTCAGATATCCTTTCAAGAGAGTTGAGTTTACCACCCTTTATTCTTAACTTCTCCATAACTCTCAATTTCAACCAAATTTCAATTTCTGACACTGAGGTCCTGTGTGTTGGAAGGGAAATATTGTTCAAAACATTAGAAGATTCTTAGAAGCAAAGCTTTGTTTGATTACAGTTCCGCAATGACTTTTTAAATTATTTTAACATTACTGATATGCACATTATGGTTGCACTGTACAATTATAGAACTGGTTTACAAGAGCTCAAACGAGTGAAAAATGGAGAAGAAAACAGTGAGATAATGACAAGCAACCTGGCAGGCACATTAACAGCTTTGTCACGGTCAAACTGCTTTTAAACATTATGGATAAGGAAGTTTTATGGAAATATTTGAAGGAAAACACAGGTATCATTTTGGGTGACTATATGAAGAACTTCTCAAGCATGGAAAAGTTTTCACAAGACTCTTTTCAGAAAATTACAGAGAATGATGCCGGAAACAGGAAGTGACCTTCAGCAGCGAATATGAAATAATAAGACAGACTGGGGACTCTGGGTTTTGATGGTCCTACTGGGCTGCATATGAGAGGTAAGACACATCTCCATCAGCTTCAGTCCTGAACAAAATCTGAATTGTTAGACACCAGTTCTTTCTCCCAGTTTCTCCTTACTACTTTCTCCACTCCACCTTGCTTTTTCTTTCATTTCTTAGTTCTCCTGCCTTCTGCATACAGCAGAGTTAAGAGTTCAAGTTTGCCAGATCTTGGAGAGCCTGATAAGATCATGTGCTTTCTCCAAGAAACAATGAAAACAAAAAAAGTAACTTGAGGTGGTGATTTCTCTCTTTGCTGCTGTTCTCTCTTCCTTTTCTTCAACAGGTACAGAGGATCACATGTCAAAATAGGAGGGTGAAGAAAAAAACCTTGCCTAAAGTAATGCATTTGAACTATTTTGTTCTTCCCATGCTGGAGACAGGGGAACAGTTAAAATGATCTTCAGTACCAAATGAAAGACTGCTACATTTCATCTCCCTACAGATACTTTCTGCAGTGAAAAGGGATAATGAGTTATGTTAAACTAAAGGACTTAACACTTTACAACTGGTATGCTCTGTTTTTCTTATAATAAAAGACTAAAGCAATTTCAAGGACCATTATTCACGGGACTCAGTGCACTGAGCAACCCATACTCAAAACCCTGGACTTTCTTTAGGTATTTGGTATGAAATAGTAAAAAAATCATATTCACAAGATTCTACATGTCTAATCTTTTCATTGATATGACTGACAGTTTGGAGGAAAAAAGGGAACTTAGGAGATCAATAGCCATATTTAACTTGAGATGACAGCATTTAATTGGTCATTTATGAAATGCAGAGATGTGCCCCAGTTAAGATCTTGGCCTAGGGAAATACACTAGGAGTAGAAAAACTACAAGTACACTTGCTACTCACAAGTATAGAAACAGTAGGTAATTTACAACTGCCTCCCACCCCAAGATTCAAGTCATAATTAAAAAAAACCCCAAAACCAAAACCCAAACAACAAAAAAACCTCCCAAACAAACCCATCAAAGAAGTGCTTTAATCACCTGAACAAAACTGTTAATAGCCAAAGCAAAACTGGAGAAACAGAGTGAAATTATTATGGAGAGAAAAAAAAAATTGCAGGTTTGTTCTGACCCTCACACGGAAGCGAAGCGATGCGTCGTATTACATGACTGGTGCAATTTCATCTTCAGCTACAGAATCTCTTCTGTACCGTTACTGTACGCAGAACAGCGTGCAACAAAATTCTTCATACCTATCACTTACCTTTCGAACAATGCTGTCTTCTACATTAGACTTCTTGTTGCTGCCCTGCTTGCCCATTAAAGTAATCTCTAATTGACAAAAGGGCTTGGGCAAAATATCACACTGTGTGAAGAACTTGCGCCACTCCACTATATACGCTTTTAGTAAAGCTGTATCATCTTGATGACTCAGCACTCTCTGGAGGAGGGAGGGAGAAGAGGCGCTAATTTATAAACAACTTTCTGCACAAAATACAGATTGACTTTGCTTATACTGAAAATAACTCTCCATATAAAATTCAACAGACATATCAGATTTAGAAAGTCTACATATTTAAGTGCCATTTAGTTTAGCACAGTAGTTATCAAACCATGGCATATGGACCATTTCTAAATGGTAAAGAAAGGTAACAGCACACAAGTAGTCAGTACATTTAAATTTTCCAAATGAACCATTTTTTTTTCTTTTAACCCATCTACAAGTCAAAAAGATTAAAATCTTTGGTCCAAAGGCATGTACTGGTACAACCTTATCTCAAAAAAAAAAAAAACCAAAACCAAAAACCGTAAACCTGTAAGGACTATGTTATATTCTATACACTGAAAAATTTAATTCAATGGCATCAACTAACCTTTCATTAGACCCAGACAGACAGTTAACATGTATTTTTATTAATGCCTGGAAACTACAACTACATTGTACAATGACTATCACAATGCCTAAAAAGATGCCCCTCAAACAACATCCAACACAGACCATATCGAAGGCCCCAGTTCAGCATAGCATTTATGCATGTAAGCAAGCAAGTTGATGGAACTTAAAAATCAACATTTATATGCCTGGTTATACAAAGGCCTGTATAAGAAACTATTTTCCTTTAAGCAAAGCCTTAGTGGTGTAAATCCCTTCACTAACGAAAGATTTTATAGACTTTCATTTTCTCCTTTCCAAACCTCTGTCATGGGATTTTTTTTTTTAAAACTCACAACCACCCTCTCTTTTAAACCCCTTATTACAGAAAACATCTTTTGCTATACATTTTAAAAACAAAAAAAATTTCTTTGAGTCTACTCCTGATTTCAATCATTTGGGGGGAAGCCCATAAAACTGGACAGCTAAGCTTACTGAGTCAGTAGCATGGATATTCCTAGTATGCCATATATGTGGCTTATTTTAAAGCCATCCATGAACATGTCAGCATAGCACTGAAGATAGACAATTTTTTTTTTTCAGACAGTAATTTCTCATAGAAAATTTTGCCTCAAGAAGTTTTCAAGTGGAAGAAGATTCCATAAGTACTATTGGATAAACAAAAATAATGCTGTGTTTCAGGTTTTTTTAATACAACAGAAAAATCATTGCCCACCCCAGTTTCAGGACTGTGAGAAAACAATGAGCCCAGGCAAATGCTCAAGACTAAGTCCTCTTTTTGTCAATAGAAGTTCGCAGGGTAATTATGATCTCCAGAACATCACAGAATTTCAAACACAAAAGCAATCCACTTAGATCCAATGAAAGTCAGAACTATTTAGTTATTTTCCTAACGATAAGAATAGAAGTTATGAAATGTTAAAAACTTACTGCTTGTGCCTGTTTAATAAAATCAAGGATGTCTTCCTTCAGAGCCTGATGGATTTTTGCTGGACCTTTATCATCCCACAAGCAAACTGCATGTACATCTCTAGAAAACAATTTATCCATCTTTTAGTGACAGCTACTCAAAGTTTAATGCTGTAATGTATGAGGATTAAACAGTCATAATTTAAGTATGTCTAAGAAATTAATACACTTTTTATCTATCATTGTCAAACAGTACATGGCGAGATCCCAGTGACACATGCAAGAAAACATGTTTGGAGAAGAGACTGAAGGTCTAAAAGTCTTGGAAGCAAGTAACAGCAACCTATCTAGCATTAAGGACAATTTCTAAGGCTTTTCTTTGACAAAGACAGAAATCACTTGCCAGTAGAAGCATTACTACTCAGACCATATTATTCTAAAATAGTCTCATTAACATGCAGCCTTCACTCACAGTTTCACAATCCAAGCACTACAACATCCTTGTGCTACAAAGGAAACAGACCTTTCCTTGTGAGAAATGTGAGCTTAGGGGCATTAGGTAATTTAAAACACATTTAATTAGTTTAATAATATCACTTAAACGTTTCATGACAGTGGTAGCATTTTAAGGTGAAAATCTAATGCAGAAAAGCTACCAAACAGCATCACAAAGCAAAATTGTATAAATGAGTTTTAATCAACATTCAAATAAATTCCTTTATTTCCTAGCTGACAGACCAGCAAGTGTAACTTAATTCCTATTTTCTTTCCATACTAAAGACTAAATAAAGCAAGTTACACTCCTAACCATACATCATGTATGGGGCCTAGCAAGCTTTTTTTTGACTCATTACCTTCCTTTGGTGGTTCTTCCTCCTTTCAATGATAAGGCCACATCTTTGCAGGAAAGCAACTATATAATCTAAAGGTATGACTTTGTTCCTATTAAATCAATACAGTTATTTCAACACAAAAGCATCTTTTTTAGTTTAACTGAAAACACAAAACTTACAAGGTAAAAAGTTCCTTTGACACAGATCAAAGGTGCTGGCCCAGGATTCAGAGGTCTCCCTAACTTGTGAGACTTACGCAACTTTCACATGCAGAAAAGGTGTTACTGTATTTAGAATGCCACTGTTTCCTGACAGCAGTGAAGAAAGCAATACTGGATAACTATATTCAAAGGGCAGGTAGAAGACACCTACAGAGTTTAAATTTTTATTAAAAAGCTTAACAAAGAGCACCATCCAAAAATAGGAACCTAGGAGAGTGGGATCCTTTCCTTCAGTATCCTTAATTTAGCCATAAAGTTACTTAAGTTCTATTCAATAATTCAGCTACAAGAAAAATAATACATGGATAATTTCAGTACCAATGCAGAATTATTGAACTAGTTATTAAAAATGAAAGCAGTGACTCAGAACTGAATTTGTACCTTAACTACACCATGTTTCTGGCAACTACTACAGCTGTGACATCATAAGATATTAAAACTCATTACATGATAAACTACCTTGCCTTTCGGTTGGCAGAAAAGTGTGACAGGTGCAGTAAGATGGGTGTAAAAAGAATCACTGCACCATCCTCATCAAAAAGAGCCATAAAGATACAGACTGCAACAAGACTGTTTAAAAAAAACCACTTTTGTGACAGATCTTAAAAAGCAGGAGGAGAGACTACAGATTAAGGTACAACTGTATCTGAGGGAAAATAACTATGTTGAGACAAAGATTATTTTAGATATGCTTTCAATATGTGTGTTGTAACTCACTTCCATATTATGTTGACAAAGGTCACACAATACATTTTAAGAAAAAAATCATCACCTAACAGGAAGCAACTTCTGGCTTTTTGGAAGGAGGAAAATGGTAGAGTTTTTAAAAAGTACAATAATGCAAACACTGTCTGAAAAATATTATATATATTATTCTTAGGGTATAACACTATTCAAATTATACCAGTTAAACTGCATCACCCTGTTACTTCAGTAGCATTCTTAAGTTATTTTAGAAGAAAGCCATTCAAATCAGAATAACGTAACATTCAGCAAACTGCCTTGAAACGAACTTACTGCCAAAGCAGTAAACAACATTTTCTCTCCGATTCTAACAACTTTGTGGGCAGGTACAAAACTTGTTTACTATGATCAACTGAAGTCAAAAGCTCTGTTCTTTCTCCACCCTATTTGATGTAAGGATGCAAGATACTAAGAAATTACTTACGAAAACAGATCAAACCATTGCTGTTTTGTGACAGACTCCTGACGAAGAAGTTTCAGAACGATAGGGCGCATGAAATCCCATTTGTCTTCAAACTGAAGTGAACCTTTATTCTAAAAGGAACAAAAAAATTACTGTTAATAAAACAGTTTCTTATTTAAAGTTATCTTCAAGGATTGCAGTTTCTATGGTTAACGTAAAAATATCTTCTTCTCAGAGTTGCCTTCTAAGCTAGCATTTGAGCTACACCACCATAGCTGAACAACACTTTGCACAGTATTATTTTAAAAAGTGACAGAGCTATTATCTGTTTCTCAGAGAAGCAGACTGCCAACTTCTTCCTCTATTCACTACCTGAGCTACAATGCAACAAGCTCTAGCAAGTGTTCTTCACCTGTTAATTGAGTTACACATGGACAACACGAACGATACTCGGTCAGCTTCACCACCGCAGCCAAGATACATGCAATGAAAGTCATAAGGCAGAGTTGCAAACCTGTCTTCAATAAATTACCATTACCAAAATGGCAGCCAGGAGTCAGTAATCGTACCTGTGGATGCTGCCACGTACCTTTTTTCCTCCCCCGTGCATTTGCATCAGCAGCAAAAACAGAGGAAGGAAGCAGAGTAACATAGGAGCTGTTGTATCACAGACTCCCTTCCTGTGGGTTAACTGGCCACAGGCAGTTTGATGGCCAAGACTACAGTTGGTGCAGATAAAAATGATTTACACCGTGCTGAAAAACCTAACGCAAGGTGAATGTTTCCAAACTTATGATCCAAATTAAGAGGAAAGCTAAAGAAATTAAGTGCTCCCATATCATTCTGATTATTCTGAAAAATCTCACTGTAGTATACAGGCTGACTTCCATCATTTAAAAAAAATAACTTTAAGAGAAAAGTAACAGTTCTATTACATATGTTGTAATCCTATTTACTCACAGCTCCACATTTTAAAAAGAAAAACCTGCAACTGAAAAAAAACATTGATTGAGAGTTCTGTGGCAGAAAGGCTACTGGTTGAGTTATCTGCAGTGCTATGTTCCAATGCACTGTTTACTTTTGAACAGATCATTGTCTTGGCTAGTAATACTACACTTGACACAATTCACTTCAAATACAGCAAATAGTACAGTCTAACTACTTGGAATTCTGACAAATACACTGTTCTGCCACTAACATCTCTTCAGATAAACAAACACAAGCAGCATACCACGTTCTCTCAACTATCTCCTTCTGATTAATTTCTACATGGAAATTCAGAATTAAATCTGTTTTTTAATATTCAGAATAAGGACAGTTTGGAAACTGTATCCCCTGCTGCTCTTAAGTGGAAAGATGTCTCATCTTCAAGTTCTAAAGATGCAACAGGCATCACAGTAACTATTTTTACAGCAACAGCACCTGGAGGCCTCACAGCATTATCAAACCACTGCGGTTCATGCTGAATATGGGTTTCACAGAAGCAGCCCCTGTTTGTTAAAGTTCAGAATTCTTTCAAAATTTAAAAAAAAAAAAATAGAAAAAGAAAATGTTTTCCAATTCAGACAATTTTGCCTGTTCTCGTCCACTGTAAAGAAAAAAATAAATAAAAATTTGAACACAACATCTTTGAAAATCAATAACTACATGCTTACACAGAGGTCCCACATAGAGCTGGCTTTATAATTATTCCCTAAACTTTGATGAGTTGCTCTAATGTTTCCTATTCCTGTGAAAATGATTAGTTTCTACTTGCAGATATGTCTGTTCCCAGTCCCTCTTTGCAGAAAAATGAACTTGAAAGACGAGCTGCTGAACAGTTAGAAGTTCCAGAAAAGGCATTATAAAATAAGTAAAACCAACTTCCTCAAAAGTTTTCCTTTGGAGTGAAACTTCAGAGTAGATCCCATAAGTTTTCTGGAAGAGGTAAAAAGCCTGTTCCGCAATTCTGGAGAAATGCAATTCAGTCCTTCACTGAAAACAGCTGAAGAAAAAAAAAACAGAACGCTCCATCTTTGTGAATAAGACTAGTTTCACTGTAAAAGACAGGGCGGGGAGGGGTGTGGAAATTGCAGACACTAGTGTTCATATGATTTAGATTGTGACTACCTAGTTCATGCTAAGACGCACACATAAAAACCTCTATTTCAGTTGTAAAAACTGCATGTCCACTTGTAATGAACGTACCTATTTAACAAAAATTCTCCAAAAAAGCTTGGCTGAAAATGTCATTAGGGAAGTTTAGAACTTCTTTAGAACTCCTATACATAGGAGTAAAACTTGTTGGTTGGTGGGGGGTTTTTTGTTGGGTTTTTTTTTTTTTTTTACACTTCCTCCTTTATTCCTAAGTTAAGCACAAGAGGAAATAAAATTAATGAATTCAAAATCCCACTCAACTAAACTATTCTTTATTTTCAATAAACAATTCAACTTCTTCAGGCTTCCATGACCATTAATCTTACACTCTTGTACTGAAATTGCAAGAAGAAAGGGTGCATAATACCACCTACTGGGTGTCATTCACATTCATTAATTCTACCCCTATTAGTGCACGAGAAAACCAAATTTTATAGTAGAAGAGGAGGTCAAGCAGTGGTAGTTCTTAGTTGTTACCAAAGTCACACATACACCAGTGACCCAGACAACACAAGGAACCCATTTCCCACTTCGCTGAGCCACCACAAACCTATGCAATTTCTGAGCAATATTTCCCGGGTAACTTTTCTTTCTGAGTTTGTTGCCTCGAACCACAGTTCCCAAGGGAAGGTAAGTAGGAAGGTAAGTCATACCTTTGACGAAATAAAATTACTCTGCTTATCAAATCTTCTCTGAAAACATGGATTACGATTGATAGCCATACCCTAAGTAACCATTCTAGGAGTTTAAAATTTAATGTTTTGAAAAATAACTCCACTTATGAAATATTTTGTTTCAAAAGTCACTTCACTGAATTTGTCCACAGAGATTTAAAGTTCCATTTTAACACTAAACTTTACTTGAAATATATACTACTTCACACACTATATTGGAATATATACTACAACTTTACTCTTCAAACTTACTTTTTTCTGTTCTTCACTTCTATGCATAAGCACCTAAACGCAATATTTTAGGATAGCATGTAAAAAACCTCCCAGACTATGTTGGTGGATATTATGTAGAATTAGTACAATGATGCAAGTGGAATTGTTCCACTAACCAGTTTTCCTGATTTGGGTATTATCACTTAACACAAAATTCCTCTCCTTAACTGTAAGCAAGTTTAAGAAAAGCACAGCAGAAGCAGGCACAGAACATGGCATAAGAGCCTAAATAAATGTGGAATATAACAAGGCAAGACAATATAACAAGACATCCACACTACTGTCCCTCTGAACCTTGAAATGTCTATTTGGACATTCAGCTTTCCTTACTGTGTACTCTATATTTCAGGCCACATACAAATTCAGCCTTGATCTCTGACATGCTCTAAACAGTACTGTAAAAAAGCAACATCCTCTACATCTTATTTACATATGAGTAACATCTTCATCTTTAATACTTCACCATTGTCAGACACTGTATATATTAAGGCTAGTTCACAGAGGCATGAAGTACAAAATACAAGATCCTAGACTGAAACAAGCATGAAAATTCACTGTCTGATTAATCTCTGCTACCAGCAGCTCTAAAAAAAAAAAAAAAAAAAAGAGTGTAATGACTGTAGCAAAGTTACTATACAAAGCAGAAACATAGCCACAGGGAAAGCTCTGCCATGTAACTAACTAGTGTGCAACATTCCCTAGCTTCTTCAGGATACCCTAATTGGAAATAGCCAGGAAGAAACAGACAAACTTAAAATACAGATCTGGAAATATGTATTTTAAGTTGAAGAATTCAAAAACTTCAGATATGCTTCCAGTTGTCAGTGACAGAGGTGTGAGATCAAAAAAAAAAAACAAAAAACCAAAAAAAACCTTGAAACCAATGCAAAGGTAAATGTCACTTAAGTCTACAGAAAATCTACTGCTTTCTTTGCTTCTTCCCTCCTAACACCAGGCTCAAGCTGCAATTCATCTTGCAAGGATGGATTCTTGCATTTGCTGGCAGCTCCAGTAAAGCTCTACAGAAGTGTCAAGATCTGCTAGCATGGATACAGCTACAGGTTTTCGTTGTGCTGCAATAAGCTGAGGTGCTTTCTGTTGCAGAAACTCCAGAAAAACTCATGTATCTTCATGTCACGAGTGAATTGGTTTAGACCATCTTGTCACTGCAAAGGGAACAGGTTACAAGTCCAACACACCCCCTGAAAAAAAGCACCCCACTTTAAAAGTGTCAGAGTTACATGCACATTAAGAGAAAAAAACTCTAGGGAGCCCACCTAGTAATGGCTCAGTCACCTACAGGAAAGCCACAGCGTCAACGTGGGAGAGCAGTTCTGCTACAGGTAGGGTATGCACTAGCTTACCACCTAACGGCTGTCTCCTTAGTAAGTACTTCAGTATTTTCATCACATTACAATTTGTTGTATCTCATCAGGGTTCAACATATGATTGATCATTCTAATTTTGCATTTAAAGAAGGCTCTCTGAGAATATGCTTCTCACTAAAAAAATAATTTACAGTTAGGAAAATTATGCACTAGTGGAGTTTAAATGATGCCCTTTAAAATTATGACAGTCAGTCAGATTTGGATTCAGCTAGTATCCGTTACTAGAATAAGAAAAGAATATTTCACTTCATTTTCTCAACTATGTAGAAAGTCAAACAAGGATAAGGGAAAACCAGAGAAAACTCTTAGTTCCTGTTTATCCTAGCAAAAACAAGACCTGCCTAAACCTCTCCTTTCTTATCCAGGGATTTTTACTGTGCTGAGACACTGCATTTTTCTTTTTCCCCTAAACATTAAAGCAGAAGTACATTTCACAGCCTCAAACAGGATGAGGCACTGCCAATCAACACTAACCTGGAATCAACAGTTTGTTTCTCTGAGAGCCCTCTGATGAGCAGAACTGGGACACAAAAGACCTTATCTAGCTCCAGTTCTTGCATTGGTTTATTGTGTCATTATCAACAAAGTCAAATCACTGAATCATCTTTCCTTTTGTAACGCAGGACTCATACTTTATTGTCTTTAGAAAACTCACTAATAGTAAATTATAGTGCTTAAAAACACTCCAAGTCACCAGAAAGGCCTATTTTAGAATAGGTATCTCTGTAGCGTTTTTCCTGAAACACGCTGTGCGGATGTATCTTCTTGTCAATCTAAAATATTAACAATTCAAAGGCCAGTGGCAAAAACATCACTAGTGAACACAAAGGCTTCAGTTCAGCAAGAGCCATCTCGCAGAATCAAGGCCTTTTGACTCTATTTTCACTTACTGTACACCTATTATTCTTTCAAAACAGCTGAAGTGGAACGCTGACAAATCTCACAGGCCTATGTTTCTTCTATCTACTATGGGCTATACAACCACGTCTCGTCACAGCACACATTGGTCTTTCCAGAGATCCTTAAATATACAGCAAGGAGATGGACTAAAACATTAACAAGTAGATAAACTGTCTGAGCCCTGCTCTAAAACGACGC